GTAGTCATGTCAATAGTTGCACAAAGGAAAACATTTATAACTATACTGATCTTCCCTAGTGTCATCCTCTGGAATCTACTGTCTATAGGCACCCCATAACAGAAGATGGTTGGGGACAGACCAGTCAGCTGCAGTACTGAGGCAACTCTCTGTACTCAAGTTTGTTGAGTTTTATGTTCTGCAAACAAAATCACACTCAGCAAAATTGTTTCAGGGTCACCTATGCCTTCGACAGTGTACACATATAGTTCTAACTCTACAAAATACAACTGAACTATCCCAGGATTTGACTCTTCTAGTACCAATAAACCCATGTAACCAACATTATCCTAAGCATTGCTGGGAGACCAAGAACATGGGAACAGGAATTTAAACTGAATGTGACTGTCGTACAAGGAAATACTACAAGTAGATGGCTGTTAACTTCCATTAGATGACAAGGGAAGTATTCTCATTCCTACTGCCCTAAACAGTACCTGGCCACGTGAGGTGAAATCCTTCCCAGTAGATGCTGTTAACCCATCACCTGGGACCTGACATGGTTGAAGAGAAATCACATTTCCAATCACTTTTGCATAACTGTACTTGATCCTTCTTCCAAACACTTCTGAATTTGGAAAATGTATCATGATTGATATAACTCCTGCCATCAATGAGGGCATGAAAATTACAGTACATTAAGAACAAATAAGGCCCTGAAAAAGTAAATAACAGATTTTTTTAAAAAGCCTTTATAGGGAAAATAGCTGTTCCCACCATTTAAGAAGTGACTTCCAAGGATACTAATGCACTATAAGTCCTGATGACTGTTTTTCAAATCTTGGCGGAGTGTTTTTCTTCTGGAATATGATCTTGCAATTATACAAGTACTATGAATAAGAAAATACACCTACCTTAAACGTATCTGACAACTGTCTGGAATTTGAAATAACATTCCTTCTCCCTGATAGTTTGTTCATGAACATACATTATAATAGGCATGACAGATTTATTAAGCAGGGAAGTACTGGATTATCTCCTTCATTTAGGTTCACTGATTCTGTTATGAGTAACACCTATATTCAGACATACACTCAAGACCAGACTTTTTAAAAATGATCCTGATGAAAATCCTCTAACACTGCTCTGCTGAAGTGCTGTTTGAACTAGAGAAACCTCGTGTGATAAGACTTTGTGCTGAAGTTTCAAATCCTCTGATAAGTGCCCCTGGCTGTACTTCTAAATATTTTTCCCAAGCTGATTTATTACATAAACAAATTCCACATCAGAGATACAGGTCGTTCAGCACTGGGGATGCGTTTTTTTCACTCTTGATTTATGAAAAGGCCCCCAAAATAAAACCAGCTAATTTTAGTACGGCGTTCCAAATATCGGGTTTCACCTTCAAGAGCTGTTCATTTGAGGACAGTGACACCAAGCGGCAGAGATGACTTAAGCTCCTTTTTTTCCCCAGCTGTTGATAAATTCTAGCTCTGGCTGTCTTTGCCACACAAAAAGCTGAATATGGTTAACTGTGCTGCAACTTCCAACAGCTTTATTTGTATATTGTATTTATACACCAGCGTATTTCAATAGCATTCAATTTGTGAAAAGTTAACCCGGATACGAGACCCATCTGCTTAGCACAAAACTGGAACAGGTTAAAGGAAAACATTTCTGCTTCATTTAAAATACACCACTAGATTTCATTCAATACACCGCTAGATTTCAGATCCTTTGCTGAGGTGTGGTATAATGAAATGCTGCACTCTGAGCACTGTCATGAAGAATTCTTTTCTCGCATTTTTATGCTCCTACTCTCTAAGGTGTTAACAAATTTTTCTTTTTTTGCCTTCATTTTTGTTGACACCGTAAGCAAACATCCTTTCACCTCAAAATAAGTGTTGTTTTTCCCATCTTGACTTTAGAAATCTACTTCCTCATCAACAATCTATTAGAAGCATTAATAATTACAATAATAGATAAATACGGTGCTGAGAATGGTTTGGTGGTTAAAAATCAAATATAACTTGTGCTTGAATAAATACTAAGAATCTCGTATTTCTTACACCTTTAATCCATTCCTTCATATTGCACAGTTTAAAAAAAAAAAAAAACAAAAAAAAACAACAACAACAAAAAAACCCCACGTGATTTACCCTTACCCAGAATGGAATCACAACTTCTACAATTCAGTGCACACCACCACCACCACATAATAGTGAGAAAAGCATTTAAACTAGACATACTGAAGTTTGTGCCCTTACCTCAGCAGTACTTTGTGAGTTCCCTATTTCCTTATAGGCAAGAAAAATGTTGCTGATCTAGCCAGTGTAATCTCCTGGCACTGTGATGAAGGCAATGGCAAACTATTTCCCTTCCAGAAATACACCTGAAACTTTGGCTACGATTCCTCCACAGAAAGGCAAAACACTTTCAAGATGACCCAAAACAGTAGCAGAAAGTAGACCTGAGGAAACTGCAAAAGAGGAAGCCTCTGCTGGAGGGTATCTTGCCAAAAGCCCTATCTTAGCTCAATGAAACTTCTATATAATGAGCTCTAAATGTTTATTTCACATGTATGGCTATGTAAGACACCACCTATTTTGAATAAGGATGATCAGTTTCACTGAAGAAATAAGAGAGGATATTCCACTTGAGCAAGTGGAATAAAGGAATTACCCAGAATGATCAAGGGTCCCAAAGTCTAGCCCACAACAAATTGCTAAGTTGAATTTTTAAAATTATAAAGTGCTTTCATCAGCATTTCCGCTCAAATTTTATCTTAATACAACTCATCTGTGCCAACTAGCTATGCCAAGCTGATAGTATTTGAGAATTTTTCACTTCAGACATCACAGCTGTTGACCTATTTCTTGAAGCCCATCTAGACTGTTCAAAGGACGGACCTCCTGTGCTGCTGATTAGGTCTGTTGGACTTACTTCCTACATCTTCAGCAAGATTTAACAAAATAGTACCAAATTAAATGGAACTACGTCAATACATTCAAGTAGTTACTTATGTCCTAGTGGGATCAGTGCTCATACAAATACAGGTGTCAAGCCAGAAGTGGAAGACTCAAGCACCAAACAATGGCTTGAAGACTAAAATTAAATCCTTTACATGTTCATGTAATTCAATAAAAGAAATAATTTTTTACCTCTTCAAGATTCCTTGGCTCCCTATCACCTGTGCCTTTAGAAGACAAAGTCCAAGAAACTGTCCAAGACAGTTTTGAAAACCTTTTTTCATCAATGTCAAAGGAAAAACAAAGATGGGTGATTTACCCTGCAAGATTCCCTGCAAAATTTCAGACATGTTTCTCTTCTGAGGAAATCACCACACAGTAGTGTAAAAGACAGTTCAGAGTACCTGAACTACCTTCATGTCCTCACTTGGAATCCCTCCTCTTTCTCTACCTCCTCTTCTAGCACTTGTGTTTCAAGACACTGAGATTAAATGTATAATGGCAGTGAACACAAAACAGAGGATGATTTTATTTTGGCAGTATTTTTCATGGATTTTCTACACTTTGGCCTAGTATAACTCACTTACCCACATCACCCTCCACTAGGATTCTATATTAACAGGGGTGTCTCACTGAAACACTCATCTTTATAGTGTTACCCACATTTTTAGTGTCATAAGCAGCTTTCCTATTTCAGCTTTCTTCATTATGAAGTCTTCACAGATTTTCAGTGAGGTGTTTTTTAACCTCACAACCAATCACTTCATCTACTTCTCCCTCTTGACTTCTATTAACTTTTTTATCTGTGATTTGTTTTCTGACTCCTCCATCTTCCCCACGACCTTCTGTCACCCTTCTCTGTGACTAGTGAGCAGTACATTTTACAGATCAGCACTCCTTTTACAAATTCCTCTCTGTGAAATGGGGATTCAGAGCTAAACCTCACATTTCAGGCTTCTATCATGTCATCAACAGAATCTTGCCCAGGTTTTGAAAACATGGTAGCAAAAAGCCAAATAATTAAAAAAAGCAACAAAAAGACACACCATTTACACACGTTTACCTTATTGCAGCCTTCCAGTACCTGAAGGGGCTACAATGAAGCTGGGAGGGGACTTTTTACACGGGCCTGTAGTGACAGGATAAGGGGTAATGGGTTTAAATTGAAAGTGGGGAGGTTTAGATTAGATATCAGGAAGAAGTTCTTCCTGGAGAGGGTGGTGAGGCACTGGAACAGGTTGCCGAGAGAAGCTGTGGATGCCCCATCCCTGGAAGTGTTCAAGGCCAGGCTGGATGAGGCTTTGAGTAACCTGGTCTAGTGGAAGGTGTTCCTGTCCATGGCAGGGGGGTTGGAACTAGATGGTCTTTAAGGTCCCTTCCAACCGAAACCATTCTATGATTCTATGATTAATCCACCAGAACAGCCTTACAAAAATATTTAGGACTCATGCTTCCTAACTAGATGCCTAAACTAAGTGGTCTGTCAGGCACTTTAAAACCTTTCTAAATGTGGTTGACGGGATTTTAGTAATCCAAAACTGAAGTACTTAAAAATATTTTCGGATATTTCCAGAGTTTAAAACAAAAGTATTCTCTACCTCCAAAATACTTAAGAAACAAATGGAATGCTGCCATGCTGCTGAAGACATGTAAAGGGATAAAAACGAGGTGCGGTTTTATAAGAAGAAAAACCCCTCTAAATGTCACTGATAAGGCAAACATACCCTTGCATCGTGCAGTACTGTCACTGCCTTACAGTGACAAAACCTATGTCCTTGGTTAGAACACGTTTTGCTCACAACTGTTTACAATTTAACTTTGAAAGAGACTTTATTTATAGTGCAGCTACCAAGTTTTATTTGAAGACAGTGCAGTGCATTTTTTCATCATCAAGATAGGCAAACCGTGCACTCACATAACTAAGGCTGCTAATAAGTAAGCTATTTCTACTTCTACTTGGCTAAGCATCAGGAATAGCAGTGGTTTCTGGTTATTGAAACTGCAGGATCTAATAGGAATGCAGTAGCATCTACAAGCCACGTTAGTACTTACATCCAAGCTTCCTTCACTTGTAGATGCAGAACTAAAAACATCCTCCTCACCACAATCTCTGTTCATCCCCAAGTTTTCTTCTGTCTGCAACACAAACAAGTATCCTACACAGCAGTAGCAAAGGAAACAAAACAGCAAAAACATGCCAGAACAAAGCATCAAACCTCGTCCCAGAACTAAGACAAACTGTCTCCATAGTGCAGGACCTGACTGCTGAGGCAGACTGCGAAATTTCTCTGATGTAGGCCAGGCCCTAAGAAAGATTTAACAATGTAATGAAACAGATCAATTCTTGGGCAAGGAGGAAAACAGGTGGTAGCACCAGGGACCAGACTGCAAGTCTCTGCTATACCCACAGACACAGGGGCACAAGCAGAGAACTTGTTCCCTGACACTTGTCAAGGACCGGACGGTTTCTGTGCGCCAGCATATACCCTACTTAGGCCTAGATCCCATGATTGTCTGCACAGGACCTCTGCTCTACTAGATTGCTTAGCAGTGCCAATTTGATCTGGATTTAGCCTCAGGCACATGACTACATTTCACATCAAAAAGATATGGAGTTCATGCCACCTTTATGTTTTTGATGCCAGGAGAACAGAGGGTAACTGATCCAGCATAAAATTAGAATGGAGAGAACAAGATGATACCTGATCTGGCATTAAGCCTGTCAGTACAAAGTTAACCAAAGAAATACTTTCAACAAATTCGTATTAACCAAGAGAAGAGGGCTCTGCTTTCATTCTCTGTCATGCTGTTTTTAATACAGCACAAAGTTTTTTTTTAAAGTTAGATTTAGTGTATTGTCATACCATGATTACTGGTTTCAGTGAGCTAGCTGAGAAAGAAAGCATGTGTGGGGCCATGGAAATCTGAGCATAGGCCTGTAGTGTGCAGTGACACCTGATCTAGGACAGTCTGCAACACAGGCTAATACTCTTCGTCACTTGCAAAAGAAATTGCCTTCTCCTTGTAAAGGACTGCAACTCTGCAGCGCTACTACTGTACAAGACTTGGGACAATTCTTGCTATCAGCTAGTTCTAAAATACAGACTGTGCACAACCTCATACAGACACACACAGAATCACTGCAAACCATAATGCAAACAAAGAAAAAAATAAAAATAATAAGCAAAAGCAACTTAAGTCATCTGGTGGAGTAAAAATGTAAAAATAACTGTAAAGAGCAGAGTTTAAGAACTCTGAGACTTTGATTCCACTGACCTGAAATTGCAGGGCATCCCATCGTATAATCCCTTCATAAACCTACCAAATCCTTTCTTAGAAGAACTTATATAATTTGCCCTCATTCTGCTTACTAAGTCTGTTCAGCAGTTTCACTGCTGTTTTGGATAGAAATCTTCTGCAACACCAAGTCAGATGCTTTATGATCAGTTAACACCTGTTTGCTCCTGCCTGCTGCACTATTCTTCAGTCTTCAGGAATTCTTCTGTCTACTCGGGTTCAAACTCCCACAGGTTTGTATTGAAAAGACAACAAGGACTTCCTTGCTGGACTAAAGAAACTGGTTTTAGTTTCTTTTCCCACAGAGTATTTGTCAATTGAAACAAAGAGTCAAATACATAAACGATCAAAAAATGTCAATTAACTTGGCAGAACTAGCAGCAAGAAAGACACCTTTCCCTTGGATTTAGAAGCTGTTTCTGCTACTTGTTTGTACAGTTCCTACTTTTTCCCAGGTTGAATACTACTGGTAACTTGTTAATTGATCCTCAATATCCTTAGCATCTATTAAAATTTGCATTTTAAAAACTCTGAGAGTACCACCTCATGTGTCTCTGATTAACAAGCATGAGGAAGAAGACAGGAAAAAAGAGAGGAGTTGCCAATCCTGGGACACTCACCCCAGGCTCAGCTGTGAGCTCACTGCAGTAAGCACAGAGCTGGGGTGCTTCATAGCAACCTCTTATAAGGTTGCAAGCGTAAATATTTTATAAATTAAATCTAAGCTGTTTCCGGACTCAGAACTCCAGGAGCACACACTTCATACTGAAGCTCAAGAAAATGGAATCCTATAGTTAGAGGACTAACTATAATGCAGAAACTGCGTGCCATTATATTATGTGGTTCTTGCAGAGGAAGCGCAGCCCCGCAGTGTGTTCTGTAGAGGATCAAGCTGAGATCCCTTGTTTACTAGATTCTTCCAGGCAGATACAGCACTATTGCTCCAGTTACGCTTTTGTTCCCTTCTTACAGAGAAGGGAAACACTCTGAAAAGTGACTGACTTCCCATCTCATCAAATACATTTTCCATGCCCTTTGTAAGATGTTAAGAATACCTCGGCATCCATGACAGGTTTTTCAACACAGTAATTCCCAGTGTCCACAAAGGAAGCTATTGGCCAGCAAAGATACTTCAAATTAGATCACAATCAAAAGGACAGACAACTAATAAAGATTTTGGAAACCTTTCACCGTTTTAAGAAGATGACTGAGAAGGCTGGAAGGGTAAGTGAAACACCAGTCCATTAACAATATGTTTCTTAGTACCAGTTATCAGACACACATTTTATAATTTCACTGCAAAAGCCTTGGAGGGCTTTTTAAACCAGACAAAAGAAAATTCTCTTTATACTCTGACACGTCAGAGTATTAAATACTTTATAATCAAAATCAGTTGACAATGATATTTGTAGCGAAGGATGCAAAAAGCATAAAGTTAAAAGCCAAGCACTGTTATATGTTCTTGAGTTAGAAAGTTTTTCTCTATTTAATTTCTGTGATAAATAACCAATTTTTCATAAAAGCACCTCAACTGAAGAAAATTGGTTTATACGAAACTTCTTTTTTAATTTTTCCAACTCAAGATTTAAAACAAAGTTAAAAATGCCTAACATGCACCCCAGCAGATACTGATCTTTCAGTTTATTACTCCTTCTAGTACCGCAAGTTATTTCTTCTATACATGATTTCGTTGGTTTTAGAGACTTGGAGATGCCAATAGCATAACTGGACAGAGCTTCCTAAAGACAGAAATGCTTCAAACCAGATTATCATCCATGCACAGAAGAGTTAATAAGACACTTTTACTTGATATCTTAATGCATTCTATATTACATCAGTTCTTTCATAAATGCATTTGTAATCTGATCACTACCAATAAGCAGACATAAGTTGCCTGAAGCTACTGACATTTGTTAACTGAATGTACAGCATTAAAAAAAAATATTTTAAAAAAATTAAATGGTGAATATGCCTGACTCCTTCAATAAGCAGCTGGTATCTTCTTCATCAACTGATTAAACATAGATTATGCATCTGCTAACAGATTAATCCTTGGAAGAAAGACACAGGAAAAAAAGAAAAACAAGACCAAGAAAAACAAGACAAAGAAGATGAAGATGGGAGAGGAGAGGAGAGAGGAGAGAGGAGAGAGGAGAGAGGAGGGAGGAAGA